ATTTACTTGGCAAAAAGCATGTTTTGAATAAAATGTCCTTTTATGCATGTTTCAATGGTTTTTATGCATAGTAGCCATACTTAGTACGTGTGTTGTACTAACCCATATTTTCTCCCTTTTCCTAAACATTTAATTTCGGGCCGTTGAGGATTCAAGCTTACTTCTCAAGACACTTGGAGTTGCTTCCCCAAGTTGGTGAGTTCTCAAGTCCGAGGACAAGACCCTATGATCTAGCTTCTATGTTTAGTTCTTTGCTTATGTTGAAAGACATTGTTGTACTTCCTATTTGCAAGACTTCTTATTGATGTAAGGGCTAAATCCCATTTTCAATACTTCTATGTTTAGATGGTGCATTGTGACGAACTTAGATTCTATTTTTCATATATGAAGTGAAGTTGAACTTCCAAAGAAAAAGTTTTAAATTTTCCGTGATTTTATTCTATGATACATGTTATAATGAATGTTAAGGGCTTGTATAAGACCTCTTCGAGGTCGAATACGCCGGTAACAACTAGGGGGTGCTCTCGGGGTTGTTACATCTATGAAGCCTCTAACTGTTAAAGATGGAAGTCGGGACAAGACCCACGACATCCTGACTAAACTGAAAAGTAAATGAAATCCTCCAAAAATAAGGGGGCTCACCATAGCTAACTCGAACTTTCGTATGTATCAACGAAGCTCCAGTTGATGATCCTGAATACCTATGTCTGCATCATGAGAAGATGCAGGCCAAATGGCTCATTATGTGGAATGTACGAGCATGTAAGAGGAATTCTAAAACATAAACATGAGCTTGAACTTTGATAAAAAGGTAACATACTTACCTCTTCTCAACTCACTCAACTCAAAGAAACATAGCTCAACTCAATGATTAGATATTCAAGTCAGAGGTATACTCAAGGATACTCAAAACTACTCAAACTTACTCAACTCATAAGTACTCAAGGATAAGATACTCAACTCGAAATACTCAAGGATAATGCAACAATAAAAGATGCAATATTTCTGAAAAGCTGTAAAACTGTAGATAGCTACTCAATGTATTGAAAAATACAATAATACTCAGTATGTATATAAAAATAAAATATAACTTTGTGGGAGTTTCTCTAACCGACAACCATCACTTAAGAGCTATAGTGATGATACAACACTTTACCTCATATTGCAAAGGACCATCCTATACCTTGCCGGGAGTATAGAACCTAACTCACTAAGCGGATCCACTAGTCTAAGCTAAAAGAATCTTAAGAAGTCATCTAAAAAGTATGATCTTTTACTACCCATGATGGCTACATGGTTTATGGAGACTTGAGTTATCTGAACTCGCATCCCCATATCGATACTCAATACTACTCCCAAAATATACTTAGCTCATATGTTTGTAAAATAAAACTCTTTCTTTGGTTTGAGATAATTACTTAAAACTTAGCTTAAAAGCTCTCTTGGAAAGCATAGTTTCCTCTTTACTGAAAAACTAGCTCAGAGGCTCTTTTGAAATCTCAGTTTCCTTTTTTGTTTAAATGTAAAAACATTTACTCTTTGGGAATACATAGTCCCGATATTCTCTTTTGAAGAAATGAACTCAACTCCTTAATCTTTACTCTTTACTCTTTACTCTTTGCTTAACTCAAAACTTAAATCTTAGAACAAAGTTAAAACGTTTGTAAAAGACTTCTCAAAATATGGTTCATGCCGAATTATGGACGTGAACGACTCAACGCAAGGTTTTTCAATAACCATATATAAAACTCAATACTTGGAACTCAAGAACTTCAATAATACTACTCACTTCAAGAATGTTCAACTCAGAGGGTTCATGTGGAATTTATGAGCATGAACTACTCAACTCAAGGACTCAAAGATACTTCTTGTTTCAAGACTGCTCGACTTATAAGGTTCATGTGAAATTATGGGCATGAACAATTCAACTCAAGGACTTCATGGGTAACATGTAATAGTCCCATGATTAGGAATGTAATCTCAAATGGGTTAGAAACTCAATACTTAGGACTTAGGACATGGAGATATTACTCCTCTCATAGATACTCAACTTATAGAGTTCATGCGGAATTTATGAGCATGAACAACTTGACTCGAAGGTCTACATAACGTTATGGAACTCATGATACAACTCTTCTCATTATCATACTTACTTTCTCAAAATTTAACTCAATTCGATTATGGATCTCAAAGGATTCACAATTGAACTAAAACTTTCTGGAACTCTACTCTTAACTCTCTCTTGAATGTGAATTATGAATTCAAGAGTTATGGTTCATGCTATGAAAGATTTCATGATGACAAAGTAGACTCATAAATACATTCTCCTCATTCTCATACTCACTTGCTCGAGTCTTGAAACAAGTTACTACAAGTTGTAGAAGACTCCATAAAAGGACACAAAGGGACTTTCTTAGAATGTTCGAAAGAATTCTCAAAACTTAACTCTCAACTCTACCTTGAATTTGAATTATTAATTCAAGGTTATGATCATGTTTGGAATGATTTTAGGTGTTTAGAAGTAGCTTAGTGTAGTTAGAATTGAAAAAGAGTGAAGGTACCTTCGAAAGAACTCAAACGGAGCAACCGATTGCAAACTGGACGGGGCAGGCGACCCTGGGGCTATGGGTGACACGGAGCGCCAGCCCCTGAAATTCATAGCCTACTTTGGGGCAATCTGGCTGGTGCACTACACCATTTTAGGCCTACGGCCACACTAAATCTGGACAACGCTTGTAAAGTGTTGCCTAAAATATTTTTGGGGACGCTTTTAAAGTGTAGCCCAAGTTTTTAACTTTTGGCTTCACTAATATTGGCAACACTTGTAAAGCGTACTCTTTAATGGTATAGGCTACACTTTATAAACGTTGTTATTGTATGATATAATTGGCAACAACTATTTACATATATGGCCACACTTTTAAAGTGTCCTATTTTTATAATTGTAAAAACAACACATTACAAATGTGGCCTTAAATTTTTCACTAAAATATTAAATTCCCTCCAACATTTTTAACTCTCCCACCAATTTTAATTGGGCAAAAAAAAAAACAAGTGGTAAAACGTAAATCTTTCTTTTCCCCAAATCAGATAAAAATCACAATTTTTAGGTCTCACAAATTGAAGAACGACGCCTTCTTCTCCAAGTATGAAATTTCTCAAGAACAATCCTCACAGATTGAAGAACGACGCCTTCTTCTCCAAGTCTGAAATTTCTCAAGAACGATCCTCACAGATTGAAGAACGACGCATTTTTCAATTTCATGGTTGTTCACCTGTGACCTATGAAAATCCGTCATAGATTTCTCGTTGTTAATCAAGGAAAAAACAAAATGCTTCAATTAAGAAGATGATGTCTTAAAGCTTCATCACATTGAAAGGATTTTGTTGGAATAGGGTTTATCAGGTAAAAATTTATATCCTTAAAAGTCTCTGGGTTTATTGTTTGCGTGTGGTTACACATTTAGCTTTAGGGTTTTGATATTCTTATGTTGTTGAAATTACTGTTGGATGGTTGCAAGAATTCCAATATCAGTGAAGTTCCATAATCTGTGACTGATTTTGATGCTTATAGGGCTTAGTACACAATTTGAATATGGAAAAATGCAACCAAGCTTATCTGAAAAGTAATGAACAGCCAAACGATCTTCAATGATATGACAAATCCATATTGATTCTCTTAAGTTCGAGAGATTACTGATTATGGTAAAGTGACTACTGATTTCCACTTATTCATTGCCTTTGATCAATTTAATTGCATCAAACCTATTACTTGTACCTTCTTATTGTTAAGTCAGTTTTGGGTGCATGGACATTCAATATTCCAAATGGTTCCTTTTTCATGTTAAGGAAGAAAGTTTTCTTGCAGGATGGGGCAGATTCACTATAGCCTCTCTTTTATTTATCCAGGACATTATGTGATGATGGAACGGTAGAAATTATTGGACCAATAGCCACAACAGTTGAGGACACCATACTTGTGTAAGTTATCATGGATTTGAATATTAATATGCATACTCTTAAACATTTGTTACCCGATTATCTTTCGGACTAACCAAATAAATTAAACGAATGTTAGAATTAGCTGGCCTCATTTTCTTCTCATAAATCTGCTTGCTGATGGTAAAGAACAAACAAAAAGAATCTTATTATTGAGGAAAAGGAATGAGAATTATAGAGGTACGCAAAAAGATATGGAATGATTATTCAACCATCTTGTCAGACCATAAAAAAGAACTATAAGTGTATTCGAGAAAGTTTGAATTGCATACATCATTTAGATTTATCAATCAGACGCTGACACTTAATCTTGTCCAAGGACCAGTAATCCCATCAAGTCCCTGACTGGCAATTTCTAATTAGCAGTACTTTACAAAGAACCACTAAGATGGGCAATGTGTTGTATGCCTAAATTATGATAGTTAAACCAGTGTTTAAGTACTTCTTGACTGTTAGCATGAGATTGACAAGACAATCGAACAATCAGATTGCATAGCCAGCAAACTCAGTCAGTTTGACATGGTATATAGATATTCTAATGATCTAGAGAAAATGCTTGTACAAAGTAATCCTTCCTCCTAAATGGTTGATTTTATGTTGTATTTTTGTCAAGTATGCCTGGTAACTATGTCATGATAAGTCTTCGCGGACTTGTTAATGTACTTTACATGTTCCACAAACTAGTTCTTGCTTTAATAGCTTTATTCGTCTCATTTTTGTTTTTAATAAATTTACGATCGAAGTTGCACAAGGGAATTGCAATGTGATTCGTTAATATCTTACTGCATTGAGTATGCAGCAATTTTTGGGGCCTCTCGTGCTGATAGAATCTCCTTGAGACGGTTAAGGTGGTAACCACCAAAGAATGTGTATTCATCTTATCTATTCTTCCTTTTTATTCAATGTCTTTCTTTTTAGAATTACCTTTCCGGTGAATATGATAACCTGAAACATCATGTACATGTTTAGAACATCTAAAAACTGTGTTCTTAGTTTTAATCTCTCTAGCAGACTCAAACTCATTAATCATATCACATTCATCTTATTTATTTTGGACATCATTGTGGATAATAAGTTCTGTTTCGGTAATTTAATCATATGTCTCCATTTCTTTCAGTCTCTTTCTTGTGTTCCTAATTCTCCTTCACAAGGGAGCTCGCGATCTGTGGAATCACTGCGCCTTGGAAAATATGCAGAGGTGACTACACTGTTGTGCAGTGATTTTTATTTTTTTTGGTTATAACCATTATTTCTTTGATAATCTCATAGCAACATACTCTTGTAGTGGTTTAATGATGTCTTCTCAACATATATATCTTACAAGTGTGAGAATGTTCTCAGTCGAATATCAGAAAATCATGGATGCAAAGTATGCCTATTTCAATTATTACATTCTCCATTTCTTTATCTTGGACTTTGGCTGGTGTATCTTCTAGCTTTGGTTTAGAATTGTTTGAACAATTAGCTTCAATATTGTAAGGATCTATCATTCTACAAGATGGTTAGTATGTCTAATATTTTTCTTTATATCGTGGTTGAAGACTGTAAAGATTGTAATACCAGAGCTGCATGAGATGCGCATTGCTCATATTGTTTCTATTGGGTCTGAATCATTGTGCACATTGAATCCAGACTGTGGTGACGGGTACACAATTTCTCTTTGAATATTCTAGTACATCACATGTCTCTTACTAGATCTCAATGTCTTATTGGGAGCAACTTCAAACTATTTCCTAATATCATCTTTGTTATATGTTTTCTTCTTCTTTTTCTGTCACCAGGAAATGAGCAAGATTGAAATATGATACACGTACAAATCTGGCATTTTTCGTTCATTTACTGCAGCAGACTATGTTGCTGCTCAGCGGCTTAGGTAAGGCATGTTGTTTCTTAAGCTACCTACACTAAATCAATCTAACCTAGTCATGAATCTCTTTCAGACTCCATCTGAGAACTAGTCTGATGATAGTGTTGTCATCTGAGAACTTATTTATTGATCTAGAAATATGGTGGCATCTAAAATGACTGAAAACATCAGATAGTTGTATCTTACCTTAGGTTTACTTTTACACTTAATTGGTTGCCAAAACTTTTAAGTTGATAACTTTGGAACCTATCAACAATGTTGTTGAAAGAATTCAGATACAATCCAATCCAAGAATATGACTTGATAAGATATGGTGGAGTATTTAATATCCTGAAAGTAATGCTTCATTCAGAAAGCACAATGGGAAGATGAAAAAGAGAAAATGTTCTAGGACTATTGTCTTCTAATTTCTGGGTTGTTCAGTAGTTATGTATATTCTTTTATGCTTGGTTTGTGCATATACTCTGTAATGCTAACCTTTCCAATTAGTGTTGTATGCAGTTCTTACAGATACAAACATAAATGGATCTTTCAAAAGTACAAGAAACATTATTGACATAACTCTTGTCTGGGTTTTTGCAGGCGGAGGTTAGTGTATTTCTTTCGAGTGGGCCACAGAGGCATGATATATGGAGTTGCCCAAATATCTATCACCATTCAAGCATATCATGTCAGTGACTAATCCACACACAACAAGAAATTCCTAAAATTTGTATCTATATTCTACTTTTACTTGATATGGAGTTGCCCAAATGTAGTTTATTAGTGATCATTTAAGTATTTTGTTCTTTTCTCCCAGATTTATTAATTCATATATGCCAAAACAGTCTTGGAATACATGTAGAACTAGGATTTTATAGTTTTTGTAACAACAACTGATTGGAAAATGGATTTTGCTGTAGTTACTTACTGTGATATCGTAGTAGCATATGAAATACATGTTTTAATAACAACTAAGAGTCCTATTTTTCATAACAGTACCACTACATTGGGAAGGGGCTTGGCTTTACTAAAGAAGTTCAAACTCTTATTCATCCTAGCAAGGTGAATTGAAATAAGGAACTGCCTCTGGATAGCAAAATAGTGGCCACACACACTAACAATCCTAATATTTCTTTTTTGGGATATTAAGTCTCAGCCTAATCATCGCACTACTATGGGATTAAATAATTCACGACCAGATTTGATACCCAATCCATCCATATTTACGGTACCAACGGGGTACCCGAACCAACCATATATGGATATCCCCATACCTAGTGTGGCACCCGAGCCAACCATTAGTATACACCAGACATGGTATCCGAGCCAACCCTGGGGATATCCTGTACTAGGTGTGTACTCGAGACAACCATCAAGTGCAGAATCATGCACAATCACAAACAAAATCAAGAATAACACTTGAAATCACAAGTCACATGACCGGTTCATTGCATGAGATTATCAATATGTTGTCATTACATATGCTTTCCTATGGTTTCCTAGTATGCATATGCAAGATATAATGCAGTAAACGGGTATAACCACTAAATTAAAGGAAACCTAGAATATCTAGGCACAAAGCATCAGACCTTGCCCATGAAATTTTGACTTCGTGGAAACAATATATGATGAACAAGCACTTGAATAACTTAGGCTTTCAGCTTACTTGTGCCATAATTCTTCCCCATGATGCTCCCTTGAGCCAAATGCTTTTAGAGGGTTTTTGCATCATCCCTCATATGTTTTCTCCTTTCAAAACTGAGAGAAAAAAAAAAAGACAACACATTAGTTATGTTGGAGACGTATAGTCAGCCCGCTATAGCGCCTATTAGACCGCTATAGTTGTGCCTCCATAGAGGGATATCTCTCGCTATGGTGGGCTAACGTCAACATGACCCAAAATTTAATTTTGACCAAAATAGTCTTGTACTCAAATTTTATAAATTACTACACCACACTTTCGGACCTTCGGGACTCCTTACGAGTTGCCCTTTAGTAACGGCGGATTGGGTTGTTACAGTGTTGATGAGAGAAAGCCTAGGCAAAAAAAATTGATGAATCAAATTTTGATTAAACTCTTTTTCATCTGTTTGAAAGAAAGGCTCGATATAGATTTAAAGTACTGTGGCCAAACCTCGGTTTTGAATTTTTTACATTTATTGTAGGATAAAAGTGGACGATAAAAGGATCTGACACTACAATAAAAAAATTGTTGTGTAATTATTTAGCAGCAATAATATAAGTGTCTTTACATATATATATATATATATATATATAATAAAAAATATGAGTATTTATCACAAACACAATATATAAGTGCCGCTAACGACTTTAGCGACTCTGAATCTATTTACATTAACTCAATTTCCACAAAATATTTTTCTTTAAAAAAATCCTACTGCCATCAAATGTCTCTTTTTTTGTAGTGTGATTAAGGTATTAATCATTAATAATGATTTGTATCTGATTTAGAAATCCTTGTTGTCATCCCCCGTAATATCCTTTGTATTAGATTCTTTTAACATCAAGTTTTGACTAATGGTTTTAGTCCACTGAGTAATATAAGCCTTTTTTGGTTTAGAAAGATATGGAACTCGTGTCGTCAGTTCCATGAGAAAAAGAAATCTACTTACATTAGTAGCTTGCTAATATCAATGGTACTACTAAAGTGAAAAAAATAATTGAATGGTTGATTGATCAAATAACCAAATTAATTAAAAGGCAACACCAAAAATTCTAATAAGCTATAAGCAACAATGATAAAAAGTATATTTTTAATGGAAAAATGCTAAAAAAAAAATGAAAAGAAAGGATCAAACAAGATTTCCATAAAGATGTGGGGGAGGGGGGTAAATCTCTCCCTTAAATATGCAATGAATTTTCAATTATTCAATAAAAAAGATAATAGCACTTTGCAAAATACATAAGGTGGAACTCTTTCAACATCAGTTAACCACGTTAAAATCATCAGAGCTTTTGGCGCCTTCATTCTTGTTATATTCTTGGTTAATTTTGTGAAAAGACACAAACTAGACTTTCAAATTATCTAATTAGGAAACTTGAGAATTCTGATCTAATTATCCTCTGGATTATATATCATGAAAGTTGATTCAAACATAACAAAAACTTCACTACCTTTTGACAAACAAAAAGATTGAGAAAGAAAATAATCCATAGGTTCTAGAGTATGATTGATGGTTAACATTCTTGTCCAAGATTTTTTATTTCCATACTCCTTCATAGACCACACATCTACTTGAGAAATCGAATTATGACAAAGCATGAAAAGAATACATCATGATGAGTCCACAATTTGGACTCATTTAAGGATATATTTTGATAGAATCAGTGTCCTCAATTGCATATTTTGTCTAAATATCTGATGAAAATCCTTAAGTTTCAAGTAGTTAGAGTTTGAGGCAAAACATGGACACTACTTGGCAAGAAGGAATAAGGCAGCTGAAAAGAATGAAGAAATAAAGGCCTGAAGATCGCCGAGTCGCCGATGGGCCTAGAGATCGCCTTTTATTCCTGTGTGCTGAGCCCTGAAGGAAAAGGTCAAGTTGGCGCTGAAATGGAGTAGTTGGCGTGTCACCGATCAGTTTCGCGAAGCAGTACCGTATCGCCCAACGACTCAAAATGCGAAGAGGCTGAAGGCTAAAGAAGGAAGGCGATGAAATCGACCAAAAGGCAGATCACCGAGCCTATCAGCGTTCCCGACTAACTGCGCCGACTGGTCTTCCGCAATACAAATTTTCAAACACTATAAATACTTGTTTAAATTTTATTTCAGTAGAGAATTTCAGATACAACATTTTATTTTTCTAAGTTTCAAGTAGAGAGACATTGTTCTTAGACCTTGAAGATTTAAAGGGTTTCATCTCCAAGAAATTGGACTTAGGTCTCAAATATTTTTCACTCTTGACGTGTTTCAAGACTTAATTCTTCATACCCAGTTGATGGAAGCTGATATTGGTATAAATTTTTATCTCTTCTACATGTCTAGCTAAAACCCCAATTCTTGGAGTGTGATTTTGTGAATATGGGTTAAATTATCTATTGGGTCTTGCTTATTGATTGTTTATTTGTTGTTTAAATGTGATTTCGTTTAGTAGTTGTGTATGAACTTAATGGAATTGTAGTTGCAAATATGATTTCATCTTAGTGTTTTTGGCTTGCTCGAGAGAGAGGTCGTAAAACTAAGACTACAGAATTGATAGCTAGTGGTATTGGGTCGACATGGGTTCAGCTCGAGAGAGTGAATCCTAGTCCCTTCTCCCCACACATTCAGCTCGAGAGAGTGAATGGGCAAAGGCGGAGGTTGTGCTTAATGCGGTAACTCGGTGTTCGAGAGAAACCGAGTTGATTCGGGGTAAGTTGCTCGAGAGAGAATTTACCCCCACTATAGTCTAGCCTAGTCACAAATACTCAACAATTTACTATCAAAAGCATGTACCCGATAATTTAGTCTATCTCGTATTCCTATAACATCCCAAGAATCCCATCTCTCTATCTAATTTTGTTATATTTTTACTCTTTTTGTTCTTAGCAGAATACAAACCCCCATTGATAATTGATGCTTGCGTCACCCCTTTTAGATTTAGTATGTTTATATTCGATAATGTCTAATATCTATGACTAATTAGAACTAAAATTTTATTTTTCTTACTAATTCTCAAAACCACTCCCTGTGGGAACGATCCCAACCCTTGGTTGGGTTATATCACTACACGCGATCGTTTGGCACTTGTACCAAAATAGTGTCAGTTGATTATGTCTTAAACATCAAAATGGTGCCGCTGCCGGGGAGTGGTGTTCTTTGAGAATTTTTAGTTTAGTAAAATTTTTGTTCTTAGTTGTAGTTGACTTACTTAATTTTTAGTTTTATTTTGTTTGTTGTGTAACTATTTCAGGAAAAATGAGTGAAAATGAAAGCTATGGGACGAATCACCCTTTTCTGAAATTGTTGAACCTTAGGGACAATCTCCTGACATTCAGGCAAGTAGGGGGTGAAACCATCCAAGAGATGTGGCTGAAATTCCAGGCAGTGCTACACCCATGCCCAAATCATGGGATGTTTGATAAAGTACTGCTGGAGTGCTTCTATAGGGGTCTTGGACTCGAAAATAGAAGTACCGCTGACCAACTTTTCGAGGGTTGTTTGCTACAACAACCCTCCGAAGTAGTAGCCAAACTCCTCGATGGCATGGTTAAGACCACTGAGGAAACGAAGAGAAAATAAGAATGGGCTACAATGTTAACTCAACTGAATTTCTTAACCAAGAAAGTCGCGGAATTGGAAGAGCACTCCAGCTTCACCGACTCTTTCGGCGAGTCACCCATATCATTCAGTGATCTAGGGTTAATCCTTTGAAAGCTACAGTGCACAGAGATCCAGGGGAGTTGACAAGGATAAAAAAAGACTTTTGGCGAGTCGCCAAAGGTCTTTGGCGACCTTCAACTTCTCGCCGAAAGTTACAGAACCCATCAACACATAGAGCATAAAATTGAAGGGCGAGATGGGGACATTAGGTGAAATGCCAAGTGGTTCGGCGAGTTCGTCCCAGTGCGCCAAATGGATCAACGTGCCTATTTTCAACCCAACTTCTCAAATTCAACCCCGTAACCCCCGAAAACAAAATCAAAGTATGCACTAGTACAATTAAGGTAGGACCCATAGCAACCAAATACAACCCTTTGAATTTTAATCTAGTTTAAAGCATACAATTACGGGAATTCAACAGTTACAACTACTCGGGCAATATTATCAGATTAAAGCATACATGTAAACAATCCAAGCTTATTGGAGAGGCCCAGCACACAACAACTCAATAAGATCAATTGCAAGTAAGCACAATTTTTGCTAAGATGAACTCGGGGCATAGAAAACCAACCTTTGGTGTTGACTACTAGAAGATTGAACTACTAGGCGGCAATGTAATCCAACTCCGAGCACAAATCAACAATAATAATATTCTAACAACGCAAGAAATATAGAAACTAGAGTTGGAAG